ATTTTGGAGATTCTTTTAGTATTTCAGTCAACAAGGCGTCTCTGCTTACGGAGTTAAAGGCGGTTTTAATGTCAACCTTTAAGATGACCTCTCCTTGGATATCCTTATCCTTACTAGTCCTTACTTCCTTACTAATATTATAAATCGGAAAGTGAGTTTGTTTGTTTGTTCCGCTTTCTCGCCGTAACTACTAAACCGATTGCTCTGAATTTTTGCAGATGTTAAGTTCAAAGTCCGGATTAAATAATAATCAGAGATGTGACTTATTTGAGATACAAGTATCTGAAATACAGATACAAGATACAAAATATGTATTTTGATCTTGTGTTTGAAATACTTTTTTTAAATTCCATTTTATATCTTGTATTTAGACATATTCGTTCTATATCTTAGTATTTTAGAAATACTTTTGCGGATACGATACTTTTAAAATGTTTCTCATCAATAAAAATAAAATATGATCAGACTCAAAGCTGATATCTACAAATAACAATGGTCTAAAAGCCCAGGCTTGGCGCAAACGAAAAAAAATAAGCCACTAACACAGCAATTTCTTAGTAGCATTTTATTATTAGGACCATACTAAAAATCTGAAATTTCTCTGAGAAGTTTCATTTGCGCCAGCTCTGGGTGTTTTCATACTTCGTGAGCATTGTCCTTAATAGTAAAGAAACTCTCTCCGATCGAAAATCTCGAAATACGAAAAATTTGTGTTCATCTCTTCACAGCCCGCTGATTATTCCCTTTTTTTCAAAAGATCTGGGAGCATGGCAGTGCCCCCACCAAGTCGAGCGCGAAGCAAACACTGCCAAACACATCATTTACTGGAACTATTTCGCCGCATTGTCAGGCCCCTATTTGAGAACCTCTGGATATGACCAGAACGCAGAAATTTACGTCATCTAGTAAGCTATAAATCACATACTTAAAATCCACAATTTCAAGTCTACAGATCATTTGGTTCCGAAGTTAAGCGAATGCAAAGTTTCCCATTTATGACACTCGTTCACTCACTACTGATCACCAAAATTTTTTTGATTTTAGAATTGATAGGTGGATTTTTACTTTACATGCCAAATCACAGTCATCTTACTTGTTTATGTGCAAGAAGATAGATTTTAGGGGCCGACAGACACCGATTTATCATAGGTAATAATAAAACAAGATTAATAAAGATACCTATTTTTTATTTGTAATATTTTATAACGTAACATTTATTCCGATAATTCGTGTAAAGAATACGTCATTAATAATAGAATATTAAAGCATTGCATGACATTACTTACATTAACGTTTAGCCTGTAATTATAAACTTAGGTAGGTATACCTATTAATGATTAATTTGTGACAATTAATTATGTTTTTTGGCTTACTCACGTAATTGTCTGATGAGGAATTCGACTACTTTCAAGCCATTCAAGAGGCTCATATTCATTAGAAGCATTTCGCGACAGAACGCGGCGACTGCGGCACAGCTAGGTACCTCTACGTACCTAAGTAAACCGAAAAACATATTTATTATAATTAATTTAGTATATCTCACGACAGTTATAATACAAAGGACAGTCCGAACCAAATGTACGTAGTCTGGGCCCAACCCTCAATAGTAACATGCTATACGCTGTTGGATAGGGCTCAGGCGCGTAGCTCCGTATCAGCCGTATCAATTATTGGGGCCCCCCGGGACGGAAACCCCTACATGCGTACGCAAAAATGAGTAAAAACTTGCCAATTTTATAATTTATTTTAGAAATCACAAAAGTCACAATGAGTTCTAAGTTTTCCCACGTAAAGCATGCATTCAATAATTGGCAGACCTTAAGAATAACTATAGCCTGATAATATGAGCGCTTGCTTTAAAAGTTGTACGTTTTCAAAATTCATCTTGGAAAAATGGCGGTTGGCCGCTGTTATTGGTAACAGCTTTATAAAATATTTTTTCGACTGCGCATTTTATGAAAAACGTTTACCTACTATAAATTAAAAAATTGTGAGAGGCCCCCAAACGAAACAATTATTTAGGACCCCACCAATGCACGCTACTTTACTAATAGGGCTTCTAAAATAAAACAATAGTTGCTAATATAATCAAATGATCTAATATGATCAAATGTTCGTATCTTCGGAGGTACGACTTCCTAAAGTAATTGCAATCTAAGGTATTCTGTAAGCATATTGTACAAGATTTTTGTATTATCGTTATAAATGTTCTTTCTAACTAATATAAGAACCCTGGTTGGATCTAGAGGAGCTCATTACTAAATAATAATACGCCAACGAGTCGATCCCCTAGGTTAAGCTATGTGCCAAGGTCAATCTTCGGATGGTTGGCAATTTAAACTGCGTTCTTCGCAGGCACTCGTATAAGTGGGACAAATGTCAACAATAACTTTTGGTATGTTTATCTTACAATTATGTGAGTAAGATCATAATTTCCTTAGCTCAAGAACATTTTCTTATCAAATTATTAGGTTTGTGCAAATAAGTTTTAAAACACCATCAAGTAGTAATAGAATGAAACCTATTGCAAAGGAAGAGAATATGCCCAAACAATATGGAAAAAATAGGTAAATTACGAGCGGACTGAGGTCGGGAAAAAAATTGGTAACTATTAGTAGAAAAATAAATCAGTTTATCGGGATTAGCGGAAGAACAAAAAGGTTCTTTCTGCACAAAAAAGTTTATTACTAAAGTTTTAGATACCAAAAAGATCTGGAACTTCTAATTTTTACATTTTATATTCAAAATTTACGCGAAAACTTTAAAATATACTTGTTTTTTGGTTTTTTAATCTTCCTCATCCTTTTTTTTACGAAAGTTTGTGTTGACGTACTTACTGTGATAGGTTTCGTAAACATACAATTTTGGTTTTGTTGAGAATAACAAATATATCCTCTTTTTACAGACATTAAAAAAAGGAGGAAGTTCGGATAATTGTTTTGCGAGCCCATGGCCTTTGTAGAACACAGAAATGTATGTAAAAAATTAGAGCACATTTCACGACGTGTTTTATACCTGCGGCGTGTGCGATATATGTATAATACGTTTGCGAAACTAGCTTCCTTGTGCATACTGCAAAGGAGTGGAATTCTTTGCCAGTCTGTATATCCTTAACTTATAATTTTTTACGTTAAATTATCAGATGAAAATGAGATTTTTTTCAATATTAGATAGGTAAATAAAAGAATGAAAATTAACATACTTCACAAATAGAAAATTGTATTCTTTGGGGACATAAAAAAGTATGTCACAAGTCACAAAAAAGGTGAGGAAAATAAAAAACCAAAAAACCAGTATTTAGAATTTTGTGTAAATTTAATTAAAAATCACTATAAATGAATAAAGAAAAGTTTAAATTATTTTCTCCTCCTTTGCAGTGGGTTACATTCTACTACCTACTATTCATTTAACAATGCTTCCGGCCATTAATGATGTTACCTACTGTACTACATAATTATGCACTATAACTCTAAAACCACTGAATTTTAATCATAGTAGTAATACAAAGTTTCATTCTGCATAAGAATACCTATCTATAGAGGGGTATCTTATTTCTATTGTGAGGTGGGCCCAACATTACCCATTGTCCTTTGTGACGGTATTGTAATGTACGTCGAGAGCAAAATACCTATAATTTCTAATCATGTATAATTACTGCATGTAAATGTAATATATAATAAATATTATATTTAAAATAGGCATCACTTTATTATTATTATCAAAATAGCTATATATTGTCAAAAGTCAAGCTAGGTAGGTACCACGTGAACTTGTGCAGTGTATACATTTTTATCAAATAGGTAAGTTAATGAGAACATTAGAAAATATATAGGAAGAATCCTATGCACTTTAACAGAAATTATTATTATCATAATATACCTAATTTAACACATTTAGATGTGGCCAGGTATACATAGTAAATAAATGCATTAGTACCTACGTTCAACGGTGCAAATATGAGTCTCGTAGGTACATAATTAGTTATTTTTGAATTTAAATAATAATACATAAATGAGGACCGTCCCAGACCTAACTATAATATACATTAATATATCATAGTATTTTTTTTTAAGGGTGGAAAATCATCGAATGACTGCTCCCGCCTGGGTGAGGCGGGAGGGAGTGTCAGACTCTTACTGACTAAAAACCACCCCGTTCCTTCTCCTGCACGTCGAGCCGGAGCCCCGGTTACCCGTTAGGTTCTCCGCGACATATATCATAGTATAGCTAGCTATCACAAACTGAGCTATAATATAAAATATATTTTCCCACGGTTTCAGAGTTTCACGGTTTCAGATTAGTACGGGTGTTCAATTTTGTAAAAGTTTTTTCATATAGGTAAGGTATAGAAAAGGCGAAGCGTAGTTTTATCGACTTCAAAAAAAGGAGGGGGTACTAAGTTCGGCTGATATTTTTTTTTGTTTGTTCGCGCAGTACTCCGCCATTTGTGAACCGATTTCCAAAATTCCTGTTTTGTTTGAAAGGGTATAGTCCCGAGATAGTCCCATTTTCATTAGATCAGGAGCTGATGTTGGGATCCTAGGGAAACCGAGGGTAACTTTCGAAAATTGTAGGGGCGAGTAATACGTCTATTATGTTTTTCAATTAGAATTTTTAGACACTACAATTTGATAAGGGTCTGGAGGCGACCTGATGATGGAGCCGACAGACAGTCGAGAGAACTTCTCAGCGGTTTATACTGACTACCTTGTGTTTGGGCTTGATTAATTGACGAGGACTTTACACATAGATAGATAGATAGACTGTCATTAAGAGTCTGATGATTAAGTAGTATAATTGTTAAGGGTACTCCTTAACGGTATACAGTAACTACCTTGTGTTTGGGTTTGATTAATTTGTATTGATTAGAACTTTGCACCTATGGAGATTATAAGTGTCAAAACGGATCTATGTAGTTTTACACTGAAAATGATAAAATAAAAACTGCGTTTGAAAAACCGACTTCAAAAAACCAAAAAGTAATAACAAACAAAAAGTCTAAACTAAAAAGAAAAAATAACTATCATTAGTACTGATAGGTTACCCACCCACTGAGGTTAGAAGTCGGTGCCATAAACTCACATTATTGTAATGATACTACTTATTGATTTGTCGTTTAATATCGGACACTTTGCAAATGCTAATACTTGCTCCTTGTCAGTGAAGTGACTGTCTTCACGATTTCGAAAAAAAAATGTATATTTAAAATATTCGTTTAACAATTGTGACTTTTCTTTTGGCATTCATCTGAAATGATGTCGGTCTAATCAAGCCAATTGAATAAAAATAAACAGGAGATAGATACCTCTCACCCCTCCAAAAAATGTTATTTACAAATACATCCATTTTACTCAACTTCACACCGCGGTGCTCTGGCGTCAAAAACCCGTCTTGACACAACTAAATTATAGGACATTGTGTCTATTTTAACCGACTTTATATAATTTTATTAAACTCCCAGTATACCCAAGTCTTGGAGGTGAAACATTGTTACACGAACATAGAGTTTGGTTCATAATGAACCGAATATGAAATGGAAATATTTCGGATTTTATTTGAGTATGTTCATTTGTTTACTTTATTTATTGTTATGATAACGCATAACAACTCTGAACAATAATAAATGTATCCAAAACAAACAAAAGCCATTTAGTCCACGTTTGAATATGGCGTAAATAGTTACACTAATATGCATTGTTGATTACATTTTTCCCCGCGGCAAAACAACTTGCCATAAGGACTGCTCTCGATGTATAAAGTGAAAACAATAAAATCAATAAGTATATACTTATATATAATATTTGTTTTAGTTTAAAAAAAATCATGTGAATACGCACGTGAAACACTAGACGTCAATTTGTAGACACTATTCGCATCGTACGTGCCACCCGACGAGAAATATCACTTCGAGGAATTATGGCGTGACGTTTTGATAATATACTATGAGTTCGTATGCGCTTTCGAAGTTCGCTTTTTGCACCAGTTATTTGTTTTAAAAATTTTATTTCACACATTAAATTACATTTTATTTCGGGACGAAAACGAAATAGGTAGATTTCACGGCTATTATAGCTAGGTGTGTGTGGTCACTCAAAACTTTGTATTGAAAATATGTGATAATAATATACCCTGCTATACATATATTAATATACTTATATTATAGCTTGGTCTGTGATGGCCTCGATGGTTAGGTACCTAGGTACCTAATGGAACTATCTGTTGAACTACTAGTTTACGAAATCTATCTTTTAGTCAGTTGCCGTGGATTCATGTTACAGTTTGGTATCATTTACTTGTTTAGTTCATTGTAAATGTACCTTCAAATATTTTTGCGCAGCTCAAGTTTTTTTTGCTATGATCTTGAATATTTTTAGTGCTTCATGAAATAGGTACTTTACTGTGTTTGCTGTGGTCAAGGATACGTAGTTTAAACATTTCAAATCATTTTTGCTACATCTGTGATGAATCTATTGACTATAGACAGTTTAACAATCAACAAGATCCTAATTTAAAATTAAAATATTATGGAACGCACTACAAGCTTCAATCAAGCTCCATATCCCTCAAAGATAGAGGTTTTCTTTGTAATAAAAGAACACTATTAGGGTTTCTGGAATAGAATTATGGTTTCTGACTACTGCTGGTCGTCGATACGGCATTTTCCTAAGTCTACACATAAGAGAAGATGTATGAACGAAAGTTATTTAAAACTTAACGATTAATATATACATATATATATTATTAATAATACTAATACATATTATGTGCAAATAGATAATTATACATAACGTGTATTTGCCAAGTACATGCGTAGATAGATGAAACTTAAAGCTAGAGCTGTTAAAAACTACTAGTAGATTTAGTACAAATATGCTATAACATAAGTAGGTAGTCAACAACAGCTAACATAATTTCGGCAACAGATTTACTGTAAACTAGTACTAACTATGTGTTAAAATCAAATACTAGTTATTACATTTAGTAAACCAGGCCACAATTAGATATTTATTACAAAAAGGATTGTTATTTTGGCGTCACAAAAAACTGATCATAGCTCTAACCATGTCATAATAAAAATTATCTTCACTTAGTGCCTACGTAGATGCATTTATTTTGTACAATTTACAATTAATGTTTAGTTACATCACTCTACTAGCAGGCCAGTAGTGAAGTAATTTACATGACATTGGCACAATTCGTACTATGTAGTTTTTATTACGCTATAAGACTGCAAGAGCCAGAGACAAACATAGGTCATTTCCAATGACAATTATTTGTTTCTAATAATATGAATTTTGGTTAGTATCTACGAATAAAACATATATTTCTTAAACATATTAAAACTGTCGATACTGCTGGCTTATTTAATAGGTACTATCTATTGTTAGAGCTATGACCAAATGATGTGTAAGTAATATCTAGAGTTTATTTTGTAACAGATTCTGTACCTGTATCCTCCGCGACCGCGAATTCAATTCCTACTGGTCTGACTTTATGTTTACGAACGGATTGTAATAATAAGGCACTGCGTTGTCAAAGTTACACTCAGGCCGTAATAACACCAAATGGACTAACTCATCATTGAGATATGTCCATTTTATTGCTCTTGGCTTTAAAGACAGATTCGACATTCTACTATCATACATACTAGCAATCTTAAAAATAAGCACTTTATTATTATTATATATTAATATGTAATCGCTTTTATCTTAGCAAAATATTAAACCTATTAATATTAATTGATTCAGTAGATGTGGACGAGTGTTTTACGTGTATAAAAAAATTATACCTCTCATGAATAGGTTGATAATATAATCATTATTATTCTAGGACCTTTTCTGTGCCCATTTCATATCGTCAGCTCGGGGTTTACAACCAGTGACTGCTTCGATTATAGTCTCTAGTGTAGACCAGAAATGAAGCATTTCTAAAGGCCAATTAAGCCAGCCCGTTGTGATGCAAAAGTAAGTCTCGTGCGGCGCTACGTGATGTATGCGATGATGACGACGTGGCAATACTATGTGCCATTCTTGTAACCAAACTACCCACATTGGTAGTCCAAAATATGTATGAGACCATTTATGTATCTGAAAATATAATGTTTAGTAGGTATATTAGTACTCATTGCTAAACGTTAAATAAACTAAAAATACTTTCTTATGTATAAAAAAACTGTTCAGTAAATATTTAATAATTACATACCTGATTGGTCATTGCAACAAAGATACAGCATAAGTACCAATATGCAATCCAGTGAAATTGGGCATTAATATTTTCATCGTCGTACGTGAGAAGTTGCCATACAATTCTTGCCAAGACCGGTATAGTAATAGCAAAATTATCACCGTTGGTCTCGATAAAATCATGACGAGTTATTGATGTAGGATCGATGTGATGTTCACGAAATGGGCGTAAGAAATTCTGTAAAAGGTAAATAAAATTCTTGTAATAAATTGCAACATATGAGATTATATAAATAAATAACTAAGTTATTAAGTAGTAAGAATATTCAAATTATTTCAGATCATTCATAATTGGATAAAGCTTCCTTAGTCAAAAATAAATTATGTATTTCAACTCCAATATAATAAAAC